GTCACGGTCATCAGAGAGGGCGGTCACGGTCATCAGAGAGGGCGGTCACGGTCATCAGAGAGGGCGGTCACGGTCATCAGAGAGGGTGGTCACAGTCATCAGAGAGACCCACATTTCCCAGCACAACTGCAGCCCGGGAGCCCATACCATACACAGCCTATATGACCATCCCAAACTACTGCTACTCATTAACTCACTTAGCATGGATTTCATAAACAGCTGCACAATGTACTATATATTGAATATTTATAATGCAAAATGAAGTACAATATTGAGTAGGCGGAATACACTGAGTACAATATTCAATGGGGGAAGAAAACAAAACAGAGTACATGTTATATGCAAGCCTGTCACATATGGACTTTCTCCAGATGTAAAACGAGGACACGTTCGCATATGCTGACACGTTTCACTATCGGCATGGCAGTGTCAAAGAGTCATTCATGTAAAGCCATAAAACCGTATTGAATTTGCCACGTGTGAGCGAAAGTGAGGCGAATCCAGCAGGATTGTTACAAAGCTCCTCGACTGCAGCCTGAACGTGCAGAATTCCAGCAGATAGAGAAGTATGGAAGAAACTAGGAAGAACTCTCTACTTGGACAGACATTCAAGTTGGAAACAGTGAATCCAAGAAATAATTTTTAAAAATCCAAAATCTATTTCCTTCTTCACAGTATATTATGCAAAGTCTACATTAGAAATTCATGGAAAGTTTGTTATATTGGCAGCAGGCTACACTTCCTGTGTATGAGCAGAAACCCCCCAGTTAAAATGACAACAGACACTAATAAAACAACCACTCATTTACAACCATGAACTATCTGGTGCTCTACATCTAATGTGTAAATGTAAACATAATAGTTCTACACTAAGACAAACTGAATAATTTACCTCTATGTTTCTTCTGCTTTTCTCAAGCTCTTGCAACAAAACTAAAATCTTCATCTTTCAGTTAAATACTTCTGTCTGACTCCTCGGGTCTTGAAGCAACAGATGTTTAATCTCCCACCCTGAGCAGCAGAGCCTATCTGCACTGACCAATCCTCTGCCAGTCTGCTGTCTCAGTGAGTAGCAGCCACATGTCACAAGTAGGTGTGGATTTCTACCACAGACCTGATCACCAGGGGCTCCTTAGGGTCCCAGAGCCCATGGCTCTTTCAGGATCAGCCCCAGGCTCACAGGAATTGTGCTTCATACAGATGTATACCCATGCATTTTGTCAGGGTGACACAGTAAGCATTTGCCACAGGTCCACATACCGTGTTAGGAAGCTGCAGTCCAGAGTCTATCAGTGTTATGATGTCATCATTGAAGCTGGATTCAAGGCTGATTATGTCATCGATAACATCATCAATCTGCAGAAGGTTGGGGGTGGAGAAAAGGCCTTAGGGTCAGAAATTAGAACTACTTATGTGCCACTTGACACTCTTCACTGCAATAGACCTCAATGGGAAAAATCAACGAATGTTCAACATGAAGATAACGTATAATATTCACACATCTTATTGGGGCAGTGGTGGGCTAATGGTTAGGGAAGTGTACTGGTAATTTAAAGTTTGCTGGTTTGAATCTCCAACCAGCAAAGTACCACTAAGTAAGATACTGCCACCTGCTTGCCCCCCAGGTGCTGAATTAGCTGCCCCCTGCTATGTCATGATGTCACGTGTGGGTTAAACGCAGAGGACACATTTTGTTGTTTGTGTGCTGTGGTATGACAACTAATCACTTTCACTTCATTAGGAAAAAAAACAACTTTAAATTTTCCACGACGGCTGATTTTTACACACAATAAAGTAAATTACGAGAATTTAACCCCACGTAATTGTCCAGTTAGGGTACTTTTCAGCCTGTGTGAAATTAACCTATAATGATGCCACCTAGGTGGTGACTTTAGAAGCGCGCGTGTGATGGACAGCGATGTCATTAAGCCCAGGGTGTGACATCTGGCAGCCCAGTGTGACATCAGTCCTTCAGAAGGTGACCCTCCATATGTGGGGTTACACAGCCGTGCCAGAAAGGTCTGCTTGTCACCTGGGACAGCGCTGGCAGCTCACCAAACAGCTGTGTGGAGGCTGCTTCTTCTGCTCATCCTACAGTACCGCTGTTTCTGTCCAAGGAGGAGCACGGTCACCCTGAACACTCCCCCCCCCCGCCCCGCTCAAAGTGGCCCTATCTCCCCTCCCTGTTAGAGTCACTATTTTATACCCATGAGCTAACATGTGACCATATCCTCAGATTTGTACACATTGTGCTAAAACACACTGAAACACACCTACACAGTCTGAATTACCCTTACAGAACTATGTGTAAAACACAGACCATAGTCCATATTCAAACTGAAATTTCAGAGAAAATATATCTTCTAAACTGTTACACTTATAATCAGGAGTTTACCACTGCAATCTTCTATTGTCCCTGAACAATCTGAACTCTCTGACCTCTGGAATTTTCCTTTCCTGTTAGGTTGGTTAACAGCCACCAGAGGGCGACACCATGAATACCTCCTCCTTGCTGGAGCCGAGGTTGAGCAGGGCCATCGGGCTGTTGGGGGCACTGCTGACACCAGGTGACGGCTCGGGGGCGGAGCTTGACTGCGGAGCTAGAGATGCCACCAATGCCTGATTGGCTGTCTTGGTTCCAAGGGTGGTTGACAGGTACTGCTTCACCTGCTGCCTTTGGGCCTGTTGGATGTGGTACTTGGTGGGGTTTTCAAGATGGGTCTGGACCTGCCAGGTGACCAAGAGATGAATACAATAAGAATGACGCTAATGCTAAGGGTTTGATTCTTCAATCATAATCGAACATCCAGCCCATTAGGACAACCTGACTAGCCTGAGATTAATTCAAAGCCTAGGTTCTCTATAGGGAGAGTAATTTTTTAGATTAATTAGAGAAAAACAAGGTTTGGTGGGTGGATCTACCTTGAACTGTCACTCACAGTATAACCCAAAGAGAACCACCAGGAAGTGGGCTAATCCGATAAACGATCAACAATGTGGTTTAATCCCACCCATTACCAGTTCTGAGATCTATTTCTTCTGGTTTTGTGTCCATGATGCATAACACAAGCATCCACCAGGGGGCAACAAAGTAACACGTTAAATCTCAGTTGAAATGGGTGGTGAATTAAATAGACATAATTTTTCAGAGTAATGAAATGAATCTGGAAACTTTGAGTGATGACTAACTTAAACATTACTGATTTTGTTTGTCCACAAACAGTCTTCTCACATAAACTGCACTTTCGTCAGGCTGAAACCACATGCAACTTGTCTATCTTACCTTGAGCACCTCCACCGGCACCTGAGCAGGGGGTGGGCGGATTGTGGGAGAAGCCATGGAAACGGCGATGGCGGGGGAGGGGCCGGCGGTGCCGCGGGGGCCCGCCGAGGCCTGCCGCTGGGCCTCACGGCGCTCCTGCTCCCGCGCCTGGTCCCTCATCAGCTGCTGCCGTAGCAACACACGCGACGACATGGCTGTCCGCTGGCTCACGGCGCTGGGGCACAGAGGCTCGTCCCAGACGATGCAAACTGTTAGGAGATGAAACATTACAACCACTCCGTTCAAATTGCAAACATGCGTTACTCAGAATCAATGTTTCCCAATCCAGTGCTCGCTGACCCACAGACCAGGTTGAGCAGGGCTACTGGGAGCACTGCTGACCCCAGGTGACGCCTCAGGGCGGAGTCTGACTGAGGAGTTCGGAGGGAGCATAAACGTGGACATGGTCTGGGTCCCAGAGGACTGAATTGGGAAACACTGCTCAAAATGAATATGTCCAAAATAAACTGTGCAAGCACAACCAGATTCACACAGTTCATTATGTCCTACATGCTTGAATATATATGTAAATTACAAACTTTGTTTACATATCAGTTTGTTACCAAGTAAAAAAATAAGGTAAGAATCAGGAATGAGCCCATAAGTATGTATATTTGGAATTTGTTTAAATTTAGATTCCTGAAGTGTTATGCAATCTTACCATTTACGTAACTAAATTGATCTAAATTGACATAACAAGTTCCAGTCAATTCGACATTGACAACCCCTTCCTACTGACTGCACTACACATCACTGGCCACAGGTGGCAGTGTCACGCCACAGCTGACCATCAGACCAAGAAAAAAAAGAATGATCTTGTTATATTAGATTAAACCATAACACAAAATATAGGGCTAAGAGATGACAGACGTGGCATGCAGGGCCTACGTTGCATAACAGATTTGTTTAATAACATATTTTTGTTATTATAATTACCAGTTCATCATTTTGGATAATTTGCATTCATTTATGTCACATATACTTCAGTACAGAGAGGCAAACTGCAACACCTTGGTCACAGATATACTGGAGAATTTCAGGTTACAGCATAGTGTCCCAAAGGATGCCTCTCAAGAGAGTTTTAATGACTTTAATTTATAATCCTATCATCAGATGAACATCAGTAACATTCATTAAGTTCCCTCTGGCACAGCAAAAACAGCAGGGGAATTGCACTGACTCATGGGGAAGTGCAACAGAATAGAGGAATCAAAAGGGAAAACAGAAACTAAGACTAATCCCGTCCCCTAAGTGCCAGACAGAGCCTCAGCCACCGCTAACCCTGTCCCCTAAGTGCCAGACAGAGC